TCTCCCAAACTCTTCTTCTGTGCTCCTTGTTTAAAAGCCTCTGACTTTGTGAAACTCCTAATAAAAATTCTGAAACTCTTGGCAGTAAGTATAAGGCACAACAATTTTCACTAACAGATACTTCCTCTTTTTCTTGGAACTGATTGCTTGTTTTTGAGATCATAAAAGTGAAGACTCTATAATTTTAAATCATTTTAGAAGGTCATGAAATTTTTGGCTATATGCCACTTTAAAAGTTCAAAATGTCAGGAAAGTCACATTAATAGCCTGGAATCTGCCTATCAGAGATAGTTTTGCCACATAAAAGAGTCATTTAATAAAAAAGATACTCCTGCATTCACTGCAGCTGCCAAAACTAGTAAAACCTGAATAGTGAACAGTCCTATAACAAGAGCACAGGATGCAAGACAGAGACTGGAAGGAGAAAAGGCTGGTCATTTGTTGAATATTTTGGCCCCTGATTCCACACCTAGTTCCACCATCAGTAACTTCAATGTCTACAATAATGGTTTCAACTGATCTTCTCTCCTCTGGTGATCTTCGCTTTTACTCCTCTCCACCAACCCATTCCCACAGCCACAAAAATGGCCTCCATATTGCTCTTAATGTCATTACTTAGATATGTTTTACCTCTAAAATCTTCAACCTCAAAAACTCACTCTGACCATAAATTCCCACTATTCTGGCTCATTATTAACCCTCTTACTTTATATACTCATCTTCACCATTACTTAGACTTCCAGTCCCAGAAATATAAAATTTTCTCCCAATCTGTTGGCAACCTTTGCTTTTTAATTTCTTAAAAATCTAGCCTAGACTATCTGACCCATCATTTCTATGTTCGTTGTCATCACACTTGAAATTTTTTATTCCTCTCTTTGATCCCTTATCTTCTTTTTCTTAATCAGACATTCAGTTTCTCTACTGTTATACTTAGCTACTCTGTACTCCTGGAATAAACTCACTCAACAATTCTGGCTATGCTTGCTACAATTTCATTGGTCTCTAACCTCATTTAGTTCCTCAGAATTTTCCTACAGTCTTTCAACATTTTCCCAGTTAGCTCCCTCTGGATAGCAAACAAGATCGGAAAAAATGGAGAGACATACCATATTTCTTAAAGTGATGTTATTGACATAACAATGTCAATGCTTCTGAAATTAATAAGTAAACCTAAATGTGATTTGAATAAGATCCTCAACATTTCTATTTAAGATTAAACAACT